TAATGATTACATACTGATTGGTACTGTTCTGCCCCTGATACTGCTGCCGGCCACTTGGGTTTCTTTTCGTTGATAAAAGGGGGTGGCTGACAGGCTGTGTTATGTGGCTTGAGCGCTACCGCCAGTGCCCTCCTCCTCCGGGATAAGTGTTCATATTAGAGTTAGACGAGACTTGATGTGTTTTTGTATTGAGGTACTGCATTTCTCCAATTACTCATATCACATAATCAATACGAACCTCGGCCAAGAAGCGCGTAAGGCAAGAGGTACAAAACAAAACATAGTTCGGCTGTGCCTCATACCTCCACCTCAAAGATCAGCCTCGCCAGAGTGATGAAGTCGACAGGCGAGGCTTCCGACTGATATCATTGGGGCAAAGACAATGTCCATACTGATAGGTAATCGACCCATGTACCACGTGTGGGAGGGATGGATGAGAACCAAAGGGCCACAACCACAGTCCAACGCTCAAGTCTTACGTGGGACTGGTGAGACACAAGACCGATGTCGAATAGATGTTGCTGAAGATGATAACGTGTTCTTCCTTGATTCGATGTCCCAGGTATTGGGTCAATACATGCGCTGGGCTGAGCCTCCCAGTCAGGCGCCATCGGCGAACGACCTCCAGTGCTACGGCAAATGGATGGTGAGATGTAAGACGTCAACCAGAGACAGGCCGCGTCAAATACACCCCACCTTGATGAAGGAATTCTTTTTTACGAGTCCATTCGCTGTACTGTACCACACCATCCGGACACACCAAGAGTCTCCAAGAACGCACGGTCTGCAGAATGAGCTTTAGGGAGCCAACAATGAAGGCATCGCCAATCAACGTGTTCAACAAGGTGAGTTTTCTTGCGAATACGGTGAGCTGAGTATGCAACTTGGTTGGCTGGTACTCGCGGTCCCTCGCCCTGCCCACATTGGTTGGGTCTTGCTGCCCAAGCCAAACAGAGCCTAAAACCCCTATTGAGTCACCATAGCGTGAAAAAGCGGTATGTGGCATGGATCAGGGGTCCGTTGGCAAGGATACAGGACGATAACGCGTCAGATTGTCGAAAATAATTGGGAGAAAGCCTGCTCTGTACCATCTTGGCTTACACGTAAGGAGGTATCCGTTACACCGCTTCGTATCACAGGTAAGGACTTCGCAATATCGGATGCGGGGCGCCCTTAGTCTATCCGACGACCTATCCTACGAATTAGGGACGACTGACGATTCATAAGATTCCTGCGTGGCAGTGTTTCTCATACCACGAGGCTTCCACAAAATCTCTGGTTCACTATGGACTTGGAAATTAACACTTGTTGAATTCAAAATCTTGTGGGTCAGCACCCTCCGTTGTTGCGAGTCCTTATCATGTTCACCCATCGACATTTCCTATTCTTGCCCAAGACTAACCATTTTCTAATAGTGGTGCGTTTCTTGAGGTTCATGGGTTAGAATACATCTCTCTACAAGTGCAGAGGGGTGGCCTGACCTTGAATAAAGTTTCCTTGCGTTCACTTCTCCTTCACCAAATAATGGTTTCCCCCATCACCCCAAAGCTCTTTTCAGTCTTAGGATGGCCTGAGTGGCTGCGAGAACCCCCCTTGGTAGGCGAACCGGTCCTACTATATCGAGTTCTTGCCAAGGGACTTCTGTCGACAGATGAACACTAGCGTGGCTCACAAAGTGATCGAAGCTTGAATGGTCCGAAGGTGTCAAGTTTGCACAGAATTGGGGCTTCCTGCTTATAACCGCAGAACTCCATCTTGATGGCAGATTTCTGAAGTTTCGGATCGAAAGCCAGCCTGAGCTACACGGTCTACTGCTGTGCTCGAACCACGCGTTGCCAATGTGGTCGACATGGACGCTGCTACGGCTGCGATCGAGGCGCTGTCCTGGTTTGGGGAAGTGTTTGACAACGAGGAGGTCGATTTTGGCGGTGGTAGGAGTCCTCTCACGCTTGTCGATCCGTTGTCCATTTTCATTTGGAGGCTGGTGTTGAAACACGCTCCATGCGCTGCTGTAGAGGAGAACGACAAAATACGTCGGAAGCGGATCGAATGTTGCAAAATAGTGCTATCACTCACTTCTCCTGGTCGTCAGCTTTGATCTCATTCCTCGAAGGCCTGGTTTTTATATCCATCAATCCGTGTTGGGCCTCTGGAAAGATCCCGTCATGTAGAAAGTGATTGGGCAGGGGAGAAGGTCTTCAGCTCCCCCTGAGCCCAAGCACTTAGAGCGCCCGAGCCGACCAGCCGTCATCCCCTGAGTGGGTGTGAAGCAACAACGGAATGCTTTGGGATCACAAAGTGAGCACACCGAATGAGTGGATATGCCTGCAGTAAGTCTAAGGCAATCAATCTTAGAGGGAACTCTTTGAAACCGATATACATTCAATACAACAACTGGCCGGCGGATGCAGCACACTGAATGGCGAAGAGTGCAGGACTCTAAGTCAACCGGCCGGCCGGTATGCTGGAAGAACCCTGTGCTACCTCCCAACCCACCTCGCCTCGTCCCCTTGCCCTAAGCTATCGACCCTAAGGGAGGAGTTAGGCAGCATCTCCTTTCCGGCGATTGTCCATCAACAACGCGAGACGTTGCAAAAGCCAAGAGCACATCTATTAGCTCGATGTATAATGGTCTCGATCGCTTGCGACGTCTCCTCGGCAAAATCACACGCGTTGCAAAGCAAATGATGCCTGACATTTGGCATTGTGGGCAAAGTGAGAGGCGGGTCGATACCAGGTCATAACACGCTGGCCGAACGGTCGTTGCCGGAGCTCAACGCGATGGTGGTGGCACTGGGCAGCCTTTGGGACCTTGTGATTGTGCTTAGGGGCCTTTGCACACGCCATCGAGGCCTAAAGACCGAGAATCTAGCGCTGACCATGCCTTGCTAGCCCGCCCCCGCCCCTCTCGCTACCAGTGGTCCTGTCATGACGGGTGTGAAAATGAGATGGTGTGCCTGCGGATTGCCGTCGCGGAACTGAAGCTTTCTCACGATCTTGCTATGCTGGCCACGCGTATCGATGAGTCTGTAGCCTGTCCGATCTTCCTGTCTACAAATACGACCAATGGCATAAGATAACTTCTCCCAGCCGCTGCATGTGAGCAGAAAAGATTCACTGTAACATTCGACCAAGAACCACAGCCAACGTGTTATTTGTCATTCAAAATCAGGCATCAATCATAACGCCATCCAACGAGTTCGTTGCCTGACTTTCAAAGTGTACTATCCGTGCGTGCCAACGCCTCGGTGGCCATGACCGCACAGCGTTGCTTTCCCCTCCCATCAAAGAGAGCCAGTCATCGCTTCCAGATACGTGATACCGTTCGCTGCCCGGCAATAGCATGACTGTAGGTTCAGCCGCGCACCATGCTTCCTGGGGGAAGCGGGGGCTAAGAGCCTGGGCATCCCGGGGTGGGGGGGCTCCTTGGGCTCGTTCAGGTCTCTACCTATGGCACCATCGCGGGCGAGACGACGGCCATGAAGATTTAACGGGGGCCAGGTGGCTCCAGTAGTCAGTCAGTGCATGTTTGCCGTATCAGGCGGTGATGTGATTGCATTTAGCCTAGCTCTTCCAGGCCTGAAAGATGCTAGGTAACTGACCAATGCTTGATAGTAAGGCGAGTAACCAAGATAGCTAACCTGCCTTGCCTACATTCCAGATCGATCACTGGAAGGCCCTGCGAACGGCTCCACGCAGAACTAGTGCAATCGCGTATGGCTGTTTCACTCCAGCCACCAAGCTTCCTTTACAGGCCAACCCCGGCCACTACAGTCAACAGAGCTCCAGATATAAAGATAGGGCGGCCAGTCGTTGCATGGCCTGGCTATGAAGCCCGTCAATGCCAGCGCCAGATATCCAATCGTCAACATTGCCCACTTCATGCATGAATGCATCAGAAGAGCCAACCACTAGCTACACAAGCCTACGATCAGGGATTAATACCTGGACTGGATCAGAAAGCACGATGAACAGCCTCATTTCATCACTTGCGCACAGCCGCCATTATATAGACGAGCTTCGCTTCTGAGAGAGCTGTTCAACGATGATCTTTTCCCTCGTTCATGTTCACCCAGCCCAAGGTTTTGAGCTAGTCTTTCCATGCCCGCAGGGTTGTCCCAACTTCAGAAATAACCATAGTGCAGGTGAGCCAAAGCTATCCTTCGTCTACAACGAGTGCGAGGCGCCCTGTGGAAGGTTTGAAATGCTGACCATGACGTGATAGGCAACATCGCACGTGTCGGAATTCATCTCATCATGGCGTCAGACTTGTTCGGCTCTGAGGTCCTGGAAGTATCAGCAGTCCAGTTGGACAGCCAAGCCCGATTTGGGGAACACACGCGCAGTCACCGTCAAGTTCCGAAGAACCTACACCCTGTGGACTCGCTGACGGCACATGATCCTGCGCGTCTCGTCAGGTCTTCATACAGTGTCCGAGTCAATGATGCGAAGGATTTTGCTTCGCATTGGGAGAACGAGATCGTCCCAATGCTTGCTTCGAGCCTTCCAACACTTCTTGTCGGGCCATTCTCAGTTGATGTACACACATATCCTCAACTCGCTTCGACTAACCCCCCACGACTCCTCGTTGTCACTTCATCCACCCGCGCCTCATCTCCTGCAAAGGAGATCATTACCAGGATGGTCGTAGATTCTCTACCTCTGCAATATCGTTCAGTCAAGCTGGAGTTCTGCCAAGGAACGATCGAATTATGCGCTAACCACTTGGGCACGGGTCCGGATGATCGAGACAAGCCATGTCAGCCACGGCGGGCTCAGTACATGTCTTGTCCTGGGCCAGGTGCTTCAATTGGCCAGACAGGCGATCTCAATAGCGCATCGCTAGGGGGATTCGTGAACCTTGGGGGACGGAAATCGGCAACGACCACTCGTCACCAGCATGATGAATCTCTGGGCTCATCGGCCGCGCCCTTTGTGGTGTCCAGCATCCGTCGCCACTGGACCAATTTTTCTACCAAGAGCCTTTCAGCAAACGCAACCTTCTGACAGTTTTCGGGCACGTATCGCACTGGAGCGATTTCGGATTTCTGAGGCCGTCTCTGGTCTTCTCAGGGATCTCTCAGCGCAAAGAATTGATATCCATCGAGATGGACTGGGCTGTGATAAAAATCCAGGGGCCGGGAAAAAAATGTCATTCCGACTCCAAGTTTCGCTCACGCAAGCGAGGGACACGTTGTCACGGACTTTGCCGAGGTTTCTGGCACAACAGAGGTCTACGGAGTCGGCCGCACTAGTGGCTACTCCTTGGCATATACTTCCGACGTTCCTGGGCTCCAGTACTTCAACGGCGGGTACCATCGCGAGTGGACTGTCAGACAACACGCACTCAACACCGTAGCTGCACAACAGCTCTCGGAGGGCGGTCTTGAGACTCTGTGCCCAGACCTAGATCAGATGAAGTCGACAGAGGAATGGATTACGGGAGGTGTTGGCGTCCCAGGAGACTCGGGGGCATGGCTCATGACCCGTGATGGCGATCGCGTTATCGGTCATGTATGGGCCCGGAGCACAAGTTATGGACCCATCAACAACCAAAGGTTGACGTACTTCACCCCTTTTGTGGACCTCAAGGCCGACATTGAGGACAAGTCTCAAAAGCACTTGTCTCTACCCGTCATCCTCTCACGAGCGCCAGCACGTCCTCCTGAGCCTTTGACCCAAATGCCATCTTCCTGGCTATTCACCCAAGATTCAAACGATCATTGGAGCCCCGTGTCTTCGCCCACATTGAGATCACAGCGGCTGCAGAGTCAACGCTTGATCAAGGAGACCACCCCCACAGCGATGATGACAGCTACTTCAGTCGTGAGCCCATCACGAAGGGCATCCATGCAACAACTCGTCCAACAGAATAGTTTCGCGCAGCACTGTCCACCTCTTGGCCCCATGTTCTCCGATGAATGTACGACCTCTGACTCTAGAAGGTCCGAGGTGCCATCATGGTCACTCGGGTCTTCGACAACTGGGGAAACGGATACCACACTCTGGAGAACACAGGATTCAGAGTCCCCCGATATAGTCGTCCCTGTATTTGACGACAGAACTCTTGTTCAAGAGCAAATGTCAAGCCAGCTTCGCAGGGCCAAGGCAGTCCCCACTGGTGATGAACTACGCTTGGTGAGGGCGATAATGGCCTTGAGCCAGGCGGCATGTATGGCTTAATGATTTGTTGCCCGTTTATTCATTGACTGTCTCCTGAATCTTCTGGAGTGTGAAAAGGGCAACAGGACACATTGATTGGAACTCGAATTTGGGGGCTGCAAGCTGACCTCCAACATGATTTTTCTTCTAACATATCTACCGACTTCGCTTCTGTCACGTTACTTTAGGTTCCCTGTCGTCTCAACGTGGCTTCCTGTGACTGGTTCGTTTTTCCAGCGGTCAATGATCGCCGCTTCAATGCTCAGTTGCGTAGGTGATGCATGCACTTGGTTAGACACTTCCTGCAAATTGTGATTGGGGGAAAGATAGATTTCAGCAGGTCGATTTGAGGTCGAGTATTGGATACTATTGGATCACGCTGGTTCAAATATAAGCTGAAGGCCTGTCACTCTAAGAATGCAGCTTGATTTAATCTGTGTGTTGATACAATACGTGTCCTTTTACCTCAATCGGATAGCTTTGCAACAGCAAACTCGCGGCTGTGTAAGATGTGCCATTCAGCTCTTCTCGAGCCAGGCAGGAGCATCTTACCGATGTTCCAAGATAATGAGTGTGATACAAAAGAGCTTTGAGTTCCTGTGGGTCTCTCCCACACCGTGCTCCAGTAGGTTGGTGAGGTTATCTCACGGGCATCAGACTTGACACAGAACGTCCATGGCTCCCCTACTGAAACTGATTTGATCTCTTCTCCCCAGCAAGCGTCAGATCATGTGCATGGAATCATAGAATGAAGATGCTTCATTCTAGACGGAGCTACTGCATTTAAAACAGGAACTGCTTAGATGTCTCCCAGCCCTGCCAGCCAAGCAGCATATGTATTTTCACAATGGCAGTCCAATGAGACCAAGGCTTGGGCGACGTCATCGATATCTAAAGACAGATTTGCATTCTGTATCCATGGTATACCGCAGGTGCTTCAAACTTTGCACGACGGCATCAGGTGTCCGAAAACCCCTGCGGAGCAACGGAACAGCGGGTTAGTTAGGGGCTAAGGACTGCGAGAACGAGTATATATAAGCTGCGGAGGCCCTCCTAGCTGCGGAGGGCCAAAATTCAGATACAGTATAACCTCATACATACGATGGAATGCCTGCGGAGCACGTGTGCAAGAGCTCTTCACTCTGCTCCATACCAAGCACTGACATCAGGGTAGACGCGTCAAGGAAGACATTGCCGGGGGCACTGCGTATATAAGGAGGACGCGGACGGCCCACATAAATGTAAACAGGCAGGTTCTAGATTCATTGCTTTCTGCAAATCAGGCAGCCGACAGCCATCTTAGGCGACCAAGACATTACCAATGTTCTATTGGCTATCGCGGTCTTGTGATCCCCCCCTCCTACCCCCTCCCCCACCCACTCCAACGACCAGCCTTGCGAAAGTTAGCCGGTATGCGCAAATGCGCAAATATCGTCACTGCTCGAAATACGCCACCTTATTGATACGGGTTGCGTTCATTACTAGCGTAAGACGTGGATTGGGTGTATCGTATCATGCAGCTAGCTATATTGGGAGTGCGGCGTCATCATGATGGGACTTTGGCTTTCCAGCCTGATGCATCATTCGGCGTCGGTATGACATTTCTCGGTAGCCGAGATTCGGAAAACAAATCATGTCAGGGGCCGAAACACCATTGGAGCTGCAGTTTTCAGATGGTCTCGGCGGTGGAAAGTGCAGACGGCCCAATGACGCCCGGTTCGGACATAGATAACTCACCGGTTGACTCTCACCTGTGGTTGGTCGCCGGAGCAATCCATACAGTTGGAATCCCGCTTTCGGTGAATAAGGGATGACGGAAATAGGCACATCTCCGAAGGCTGTAATTCTGTAAGCCTGTGATGAGACTCAAGATTTGGAATTGGAAGTTCGGTGTTGTGCTAGCGCTGATGGCCGTTTCAGGCAACGGCCCCCAAAGTTACCTAGGTCAAAGTGTTGCAACCACCAGGAAGAAATGTAATTCCATTGCCTTCTTCGCTGAGTCTAGCCTGCGTGCTTAGCTATGGCCATGAACCAATCCTCTACCGGCAAGCACGTCGTTGATTTACAAATGCGTTCCTTGACAGAGTAATTTGCACTTGTTTGACTGTTGGCTATTTGGACTTCATATTTCGTGGCTGGCGTTGAAAGGGTTCCACTGCATTGGTATGTGAGGCTTGTCCGATGCTTCGGTTGTGCCTGAGAGCTCTGAATACTAGGTTTGGTGGTTTAAGTGAAATGAGTTCATTCATGTGTATTTCTAGCTATTAGCAATCTTCGTTGGACTAGTATCGTCCCTCTCTAGTACTCGCTCGTGTGAACCCATTAATTAACCCCCTAAAGCAATGCTGCAATAGGTCCCATGCATGGATAGCTGGTCTTCACGAATGGTTCGGTGTATCCTACTCGTGCTCTGACTCTACTATCAGAGACCATCGTCGCTTATTCTAGATCAGGATGAATCAGTTCCCCCCAAAGAAGTCAACTCGACGACGAGTGGCTGTAGTTCCGGAAAGAACATTCCCCCTAAAAGAGGAGACCCATCTACCCTACAATGAGATGTCTCCTGACAAACTGAAAATAGCCCGTAGTGACCAGTGGTTAGCCATACATGGTGAATAATAAAAAAAGATAAAAAAAACTAAATGAAAAGAAAACGTATACGAGCAGCGGCCCCGGTGGCGGCCGTTGCCATCAGAGTAAGAGAATGACGGTTGTGACCACTGTGAAACAGCACATCAGCGTGAGCAAGATCCAGATGTTTCCCAACATGACGCTCAAAGACTCGCCGGTTGGATTGTGGAACTCATTTGACCGGTATGACGAGGGGAACCATAGTCCAGGCTCAAGGTCACGTACCCATGGTTTGATCCGATGATGTCTTGTGAGGAAACCGCAGGTAATCAAGACTGGTCGTCAAACGACTAGCAGTTTCGGCTTGTGGGTTTTGTGCTGATGAAGCAATATTCGAAAAGGCCGTAAAGATGAGATAGGTGAGTCCGCACCCAAGGCGACAGGTACGAGTCCTCTTTAACGTATACAGTTTGTCCTTCGCGTGTGATTCTCGAGGCATAAGCTTATTCCAAGTCGTTGCACGAACATTGGTCTCGAGTGCTCTCGCCAGTACCGAGATTCCAACAAGTCCAGGAGGGTTGGGCAAGGAGAGTATTAGTCTCAAGACCTAGTTTTGGAGATGGAGAGTGATCCAAAGATGATGCTCAAGGTCCAGTTTTTCTTTCTGGCAACAAATCTCCCAGGTCATGGGGAGTGTCGTGTGAGGCATAGAGGAACTCCGTTGCCGGAGAACAGAGGATCTCGCATCAGAAATGCAAGGGCGATAGCGTGAAAGGTGTTACCTTCAACGTCCTCGTCGCGCCTTGCGAGTTGAGTTGGTTCGTCACAAGGTGCACAGGTCCAAGGATGCACCAATGTCAAATCACGGCTGTGACACAGTCGGTTCATCAACGTCCATCAGATCCGAGGCTTTTGCCGTCACGTCTTGCTCGTCAGTGGCTGTCTGCTCCTCCGTCATGGCCTCGTCATCCTCCGCCGGGGCGACCTGTTCAGCAGCGGCAGGAAGCTCGTCAATGTTCTCGTCATACTCGGGGGATACCGCAAATTGATGCGTCTTGAAATCATATTGCAGCCATCGCTCGTGCCGCGCAATCTGGCAACCAATCCACAATATCCGGATGCGTCTTTCCTCCGTCATGGACGCAACCTCAAAATACTTTTCGTCATCGTCGATCTTATCGTTAGAGAACCAATTGGGTGGAAAGTATGTATTGGTCCAAATCAAACCACGCATAGCGAAGTCTTCGGGTAGAGGGCGAGGCGACTCGCCCTTTATTGGCCCTGGGAATTCGTGGTCCTCAAAACGTATGGTGTTGCCAGACGCTGCAATGATAGTGTTGAGCTGAACTGATAGCAGCTTCCACGGAATGCTAGCCTCCAGCCTGCCAATGGTGTTCCGCGAACGTATGAGATGATAAATCGGAACGAGGGTTGTGTGAAGGTAGGCCAGGATGCTAGGGTCACCGAACCGGCGCCATACCACTCTGTGGGTTCGGTAATTCAGCTGGAGAGCCTTTTCAAAGCGATCATTATCCTCAGGCGTCTCCATCGGGTAGTCCGCCGACAGTTCGCCCTCCATCGCACGCAGAAGTGTGCTAGAGGGGTCACCGTAGTTGAGCAAAGCGCAGGTGTTCGAGATGCCGATGTAGTAACCTGGTTCGAGCCAGCGGCGGGAATACCTAGCAATCTGGATATCAAGACCGCCAATGAAGCTATCGAAAGCAGGCTGGAACCTCTCCTGCTCTGTGCCTTTGAAAAGGACAGCGTGAAGGCAGACGAAATGCATATCAAGCTCATGCAGGCGGCTGGACTTGCCGGACTGGCTAGTCTGTTCGGCCAGAACAGGGTCAAAAAGCGTCAAGATGGACTCACGAGCGCTCACAAAGGGAGTCGGAACGACCAAGGACTTGGAGTAGTAAAAAAGCTGGCGGAGAACGTTGGGCCGGGAAAGAATGGCCAGATGATGGTAAAGCCGGCCGGTCGTCGGAGACTTGTCGGATGCCTTGCTATACCAGAGACGACTGACGGCAGTCCAGACCTCCCTGTCGGCCATGCTGTCATCCTCGATGGCCATGCGATACCGTCCCAGGTCGCCGAGACACTCGATCCACGTGTCTTCAAACTTGGGGACAGTTTCGCAAAGGAGAGCCATCATGCTGTACGCCAGATAGATGAACGACAGCATGTGTTCGAGAGATTCGGGTAGCCGGTGTCGCAACAGCTCGAGAAAGGAGTGGATGCCGTGTCGCCACATCCTGGCGGGCATGGCGTAGCGCTCGGCCAATGCCCGCAGGGCGGTATTTGCCGAAGGGTGCTGGCTGGCCAAAAAAAAGTCGTGGTGTTCGTGGAGCAAGGTTCGATGCAGGGCGATGAGGGCTTGCCATTGCTCGTCATTGAGGGGGATGGCGCCTTCCTTTGTGTTCTGCGAGTTGTCGACTTCGATACACTTGCTTTCCACCATGACAAGGCCGGCGTAGATGCCCTTGACTTCGGCGACAAGCTGCTCCTGGCTGATGGGCCGTGTCTCTGGCTGTTTGATGATGGTGATAGCGTCGTCTTTGTTCTTGCTGGCGTTGGTGCCTCGAGCATCGTCCTGTGGTTGCTGGGGAGGTGCATGGCCAGAGGAGGAAGCTGGGCGAGCTGTCTTGTTGGTCGATGCATTGGACTGATGTGCCTTGCCCTTGGTACCCTGGGCATGGGTAGCCGTGCCTCCTCCTGTCCCTTTCCCTCCTCTACCCCCTGCTACCCCTGTCCTGGGGCTCGGGTTGGGCTGACTAGTGTCGGGGTTCCATAGAGTCCTAGTCGACTTGGGTCTCGATAGGTCATCAGGGGCGGCCGAGGCCGAGGCCGAGGCTGAGTAAGGGGGACGGGCCTTTGAGCGCCTAGGCGGGCTGTGCTCACCCGAGCTGTACCTTTTGAGACTCTGCGTGGGAGAGACCGGGGTCCGATCAAGACTGGCCTGTGGTGCTGGCGCTGGCGCTTGTCCGGGCCGGACGGAGCCTGATGCGGAGGCTGGGGTCACCTTGGACACGGGGACGGCGGTCGCGGCCTTGCGACCGGCGGTACGACCGTCTTCGGCCCGGTTTGTCGCTGCTCGGGCACCTGCGCGCGAACTTGATGGATTCTGTGCTTTCGACGGCGCAGCGTTGCTGTTCGCTCGTTTAGCGGGCGTCATGCGAGGGTTCGCTCAAGGAGGGGAGCAAACGAGGGGAGGGGGGCTGCAAGACATGAACGTACCCGCGGCGGTCGATACTCAGCCCCTCAATGGAGGCTGCGTTGTTCTTTTGCAGCGTTTGTTGATGATGTTTTCTCGCAATCTTGGCGCCGTCACCGTCGGCCATGTCACCCTCTTGCCCCATGAGGTCGGTATGTCTCTGGAAAAAATGTGCTCGATATGCATCCCATGTTTTATCCACCTCCTCGTTGCACAGATGGCAAGCGACCCGAGATAACGGGGGCTGTCGTGCAGTTTTCCGTTGATAATTTCTAAATCTCGCTTCAATCTCCATTGAGACGTGACCACAGGATGAAACTGCGAAGTAGAATAACTCGACAATCGGCGCAGGGAACGAGCAGCATATATGTATGTTTCGGTCGCAAGCGCTGGATATCTGTCTTATCCAGCGCACGACAGCAAGTATATGGGTGTTGGGGGCTGGAGTCGTGAAAAGGGCCAAAGTCAGTCGGGGATTGAGTAGCGCTCGTCTTGGATCTGCCCAGTCTTTTGGGGACGTCCATGTGTGGTCAGGTTCACTCCGTGTCACGTGATGATTGACTGTGCAATCAGACCATCGATTGGTCAATGGCCGAAGCTTAAAGAACTGATAAAACGGATAGAATGTATGCTGTTGATGTTGAGTCGCTGAATTGTGGTGTCCTTCTCGGGGCCAGTCTTACAATATAAGTACTGAGCTACCCACCTACCTTACGCTGCCTGAATGTTGGACCGCGAACTACCTTATGCCAGCCATCATGCACAGAAGGCGGTACCTTAGGGTAGGCACCTATTAGGCTTAGTGGCTGGCTGCCTTCTTTACCCATGTAAGAGCCGCAAAAACGGTTCGCACCTTGGCTCCCCACCTGTATCTTGGGGCAAACTCGCCCCCCCGCTTTCTGTTGCCGACACCACCTACATCCCTTCGCTCACTCGCCACGAGCTCCCACCACTATAAATTGTAACCGACCACGTCGAGCCTCAGTCCCTTGCTCGGAGCCGTTCTTCCCGCCTACCACGATGCATCCTAGCCATCCACCCGCTCCCACGTCCACTCTTCACCGCTGCCCACCAAGCGACGACATGGCCTACAAACGGACCACATTGCGCGGCGGCGTCGAGCCAGCGACTTGCGCATTGCCTACCAATACTGCTCGAATGGCAGAGATGGCTGTCACCGGGTGAAGACGCCGTGAGGGGCGAAGGCGGGAGTGCATGTCTACAAAGAGCAGGTTCAAGGAAGCACGTTGGGCAGGCCAAGGTAGAGTTCCTTGCTCTTCTGCAACCAAGTGTCGCTGTCGCCTGCGGCAACCTGCAAGGTGGCGTCAGCCTCAGCCTTATTAAACAAGCTTGTCAATCGCGCTCATCACCAAACTCTATGCTTTTGCAGCCATGCGCACTTTGCAAAATGGCGCCCTCTCCTGGCGTGCTGTGTGAGCCACTGTGTCGCACCTCCACCGTCACCTGGTGATTAAGGAGACCTTTGCCTGGCTGCCCAGAATGAAGCTATGGTCGAAAACGCAATTTACTCTTGGTTCGCTTGATCCGTGCCGCGCCGTATGGACGCTGCCTATTATCTGAGCCATTGTTGAACAGACGATTAAAAAAAGCAAGGTCCCCGCCAGCCCCCCCTTTCGAGAATGGCATGATGCTCTGGTGGCATCCGAGAATTGCAGGATGCTCTGGTGGCATCCGCTCAGCTGATGGCGTCCACACCTGACAGCTGAGACAGCCGACACAAGTCGGACTATCACCTGCGGCGCTGAGTGACCTTTCTACCTACATCATGATGTCGATGGCTATTGCCAAGGTTATTTGTTCCCAACACTTCGAGAACACAACTCGCGCAGGACCTCGACTTCGAAATCCATGACGCGCCTCCAGTTTGTTCCACATGGGGATCTCCGCCGCCTGCCAAGCCGCATGAGGCTGCCAGTCAGACATGGTGTCTACATTTGGGTCAAGAGATAGACCCCATATGTGCCGAGACACACGTCTATGCTCTTATGAATTATCACTGCCTACTTTTCCTCATCGGACGCATCATATGGAACGCCCGACACCCTTTTCCAAAGCGAACCCGGCCAACATACCACTGTCTGTCGAGTCTAAAAGCGTCATCACACCATGATCGCCCGGACCCTCCAATCCGGCCGAGAAGTGGCGACATGATCTCAAATGCCCAGCAAGGGGCAAAAAAAAAAAAAAAAAAAAAACTTCAGAGTGCCTGTCCCTGCTCTGTGGAAGACTCTTTCTCTAACAACAAGTAAGCATAAGTGCGTTGCCTCTCTGCTGCCTTGAATTCATATGACGAACACTTTTTCAGCCCCTTCTTTTCGACCCTCAGAATGTCCATGACAAGTTCTAGAACACACTTGCTGACCGACACCCACAGGACTAGCGTTGTTGCCTTCGGTGCAGCGAGTAAACACAGACGCCACCGCCTGCGCAGGATATTATTCACGCGTCGGTGGTCTGACTGCACGTTACTGGCTCGTTCGTGTTATCGATCCTTCATCTTCGGTCTCGGTATGAGGGCAACTGGCACCACCACTGCCTACCTTAGGCATACGTCGACGTTTGGGTAAGGCCGCTCGCCATTACGATTTGATCGTCTTACTCGCTGCTTCATTACCTTCTATTCATGGAGTGTGCCGGCAAGATGATATCACCTAAGCCTCATTGGGGCCTGGTGGTCGGTGGTTGGGTTCTTCACTCTTGACTTCCAAGCTTGGTCGGGCACATTCGCATGCGGAAATACGAGGTTGCAAAGCCTTGGGCCACGTGGTTAATCACTAGAATCACGAAACTGCTCTTAGGCCGCCTGTGTTGGTCATGCAACAGGTTTTCGCAACAACAGGCTCTTTACGTCGAGGTACTCATCCATTTGCCATGATTTGGCGCTGAACGTGCCCCAATCTGTTGGTGAGGCGGATTAGACATATGCATCGTCAATGCAGTTGACCTTGGCGCGTCGCTCGATGACCATCCAGATAGCGAGGCTGGTCCAACAGCAATCAGGCCAGAGAATCAGAGCTCGTTGGCTCGCTTCGGTCACTTGGTTCCCAGAATACTCGATCAGTGTCAAGCCCCAGCTCACCCATTCCTCCCCCTGCGTTTACCAGTCAACCATTTGCATATGTAAGCAAGCCTCAGAACGACGGGAAAGCGGCGACCCTGGACGAATCATCGCTTGGCCGTGCTTAAAATACCACCATCGTCATCTAACTTATCGGGTGGCAGCAGCGTTAAAGGTTTCACATCATCTCGAGGCATACCGAACTGACTGGCTTTGATGGACGATGGCGTTCGGCTCCTCTTGAAACCAATACAATGTCCATTTCGGTACATCATCATGTGCTGAACCGAGCACCTACCCGATTGCCTCACCTGCGAAAACGACGTCTTTGTAATTGTCGTTGCTTTTTAAATCGATTTTTTTAGCGTGTCTCAGTCTTGTGTCTGCTTATATCGGCCGTTCATTCATCTCGATTCGTCAGGAAGTCATGCTCCATGTCTTCGTGCAACTTTTCTTTTCCTTTTTCCCCCCCAACGCCTAGTGATGGCCATGGGCCTCCACGTCAAGGATCAGACAGCCCAAGACGCGTTGTAACTTCATGTACCTGGACGACTTGCAAGCCTTGTCTCCTCAACGGCCGCCGAAATCACAAAACAAAGTGATATTCTGCGCCCGAGATGGGTGGGTTTCAGGCAAGATCCATCAAGGTGTCGAGGGGCCTCGAGGCTTTGAAATCGTCGCACAGAAGCAGCCTTTCAGCTTTCAGCTTGAGGCTATTTCCGCCGAAGAGGTGTGGATGTCATGGTAAACATGACATGTGAGCTTTCCAAGGCGGGCTGCAGAACCTGATGGGCAACGTAGCGCAATATTGTGAGGCACCATCCTTTCTCGAGGTGGACGCCTCAACAAGCCCCGTAGACGCCTTGCCTGGCAGTCCTACCATACTTGAATCTCGAACGTGTTCAGCGGAGAAGAAACAGCCAGCTGATTGCGAGCAGCGGCGGTACAAACGGTGGTGCCTAACAATGTTACTCCGCAGCACCTTCGTGCGAGCTGCTCGGCGCCAGACAGGACCCGGGCGTACGACCCAGCGCTTTGCCTCCGCTTGGGTACGAAGAGCTAATGAGAGTAACAGAACTCAGGTGCAAGTGCAATTGTAGGGCTCGTGACCAGCACGTTGCCTTGCTACAAGATACCCAATCGTGGGAGCTTGCGGTGGGATCTGCGTTTTAGACTGTGAAGCCTCGATATGCTTGTGATTGTTGGTTGTCGCGCCGAGCGCACGTCATCCTGGACGAACATGGAGCAGAAACGGAGCGGTGCAGTCCAGGGTAACGAAAATAGGAGCACAGTGGCTGGCTCGGTGCTTCACGGCGTGCTCAGGGTTGTTAATGTGGGGTTAGTGACAGGGTCTTGCACACTTCTGAAGAAAAGAATGCGAAGCTCACGACATCCATTGTTGGTAGTAGACAGAAATATTGGAGCGATCGAAATGAGCCAACCAAGTTGGGCGGGATCACACCGCCATCTCTTTTATTTTGCAGTAACAGGCCATCGAATCTTCTGACGATACCTAACTCAGGAGGCGGTGTGAAAGACCGAGGCGGGGTCTTTGCGTTCCAGAACCCATTACGACCCGAAAAGTACCCAGGTATCGAGGCTATATGTGGGGCAGAGCTTTGGTTCTCCGTTCAAGGAGATAACATCCCAAAATCGCGTGTGATAAAAGCAAGGCAAACCTGTTGCATTGCGTCAACCTGTGGGGGCCGGTCTTGACGTTTTGGGGGCTTTATGCGGGCGAGTCTGCATTGGCCTGCCTCATTGAGCATGATCTGGCAGCCTACTGATAGCTATGTATCCTTCAGTGCGTGATTTGAGGACATGACGACATGAGACTGCATGGGGATGCCTATATGGTGCATTTCTCGATATAGAGGACGCCTTGCTACTGGTGAGAGTAGCGCGGGGCGAAGTCGTTGCGTTGGCATCGGTCGAGGGAACAGGCATCTATCACCATTAGGCCACATTGGGCTCAGAAGCCATGACTATTCACTTTACTCTCCGCGCCTCGCAGGTTTATTCAAACCTAAATCGAGCTCACCATGACATCTGATACGACACGAGCGCGGTTGAAAGCATGACGGCCCAACTGCAAGTACAGGGATGTTTCTGTTTGCCTCCTTATCCGGCATGAGACAAAGCTTTCTCGGTGTATAGCTCCAAGAGGTTATGTCGAATCTTTTTTCCCTCGTGTCTTGGTGCCCAATCATGTCAAATGAGACTAGACTTGGGTCTGTGAGGTTTCGTGGCCGCTTGAGGCAAACATCCTCTTCCAATGAACAATTCTCGTTCAAAATAGGCATCGCATTTGATATATCAACCTGATAATGGCCGCATCTGGGAACTGGCCCTCTGTAGTCGAATTTACGACCGTAGGGCAATATAGTCGCTTGATAGCCCCTCCTGGGCCACAGGTATCGAAAAGTCCAGCAATTCGTACAACAATGTCAATGTCGAAAGACCCGTATTCCTTCATCTGTAACCAGCCCTTTCATTGCAGCTATTCACGTTTGCCGGCATGACTTACTGACTGCTCGGTATGAGGTTTTCTGCACGTTCGATCAGTGGGAGAGAGGTGTTTCTTGTATCTCTCAGGTCGACTTTTTATGCTTTGAAACCTTCATGTCTTTAAGATGTCGCACACCCTCTCTAAGAATCTGGATGACAGCAAATGTAGTGGCTTTCGTCAGCTGGTCATCAACTGTCCGTGCGTCGTTGAGAGCAGAGTGAAGAGGTCTTCCACACGTGGTCCGCAGGGAATAGACCATAGGTAGGGGGTGAGGATACATCTGAATTCTGGCCCTCCGCAGCTTAGAGAGCCCTCCGTAGTCCTTGTATATATGTTTCTCGTAACCCTTAGCCCCTGGCCGGCTCCCTGCTTAGTGGCTCCGCAGGGCCACCTGACAACAATGTTTTCTTCGTTGACGTGAACACCCGGACCCGCGGTTGCGCATATGAAATGACAATATCGCCACCAAACATTTGTGTTACTCAAAATCCTAGCGCTCTGGATAACACTCAAACATATCTCCATCGGTCAAAGAGCCTACAAAATTTGGCTGCAAGCTATCTAAAGTATCGGAGCGCGAGGTGCGCTCGATATCGTGAACCAGGTCCATCAAGGGTACCGGTACCCTTGATGGCATGGGGCTCAACACACAAGCCGGCAGGTGGGCTAGGAACGGAACGCCTTGCCTTGACAGATGCGATCTGACGTTAACTGGTTAGGAAGAAACTCGAGTCAGGTCATGTACGTAGTCGGGTGTAGTAGTGCGCCCAGCGGCAAAAGGCCCACGACCACCTGTCTGCCAAACACCACATTACACATCACACCCATTCATTCACGATGACTCGAGTCACAGAAGTACATAGTTAGAGGCCGAAGTTTCGCATAACTCCTAGGTCAAGACTCACCGGATCACGCCCCAGCTAACCCACAAGCAACCTCACAGGTACAAGCTGTCTCCGCGTGAGGCCTGGCAGCCAGCTATCGGCCTAGAAGCACGGCTGCACCCCTTGTCGAGTTAAGGCACTTGCCCCCAACGCGAGATATACCTTACCCTGCGGTACCAGCAAGATCACACCCTCTTCCCTTACTATACTAAAAGAAGCGCCTAAGAATAGGAATCGAGACGCGACCGCTACCGGAATGCACCAATGACTTACTTTAGCGACGACCAAGGGCAAGCCGGCGATTCAATACAAACATCCCCTGACGACGCTCGTCGGCCCGGTCCATCTTCCCCTTTGGCGGCGGCCGTCTTCATGCTTCAACGAGGATTCCGACAAGGCGGCTCCGTGGGCCCTTGCATGGCTCCGCAGGGGCACCCAACCTTGGCGATGGACTTTGGTGATCCCGAACCCACCATCAAATGTCAGCGTGCATTCACCACGTGGGAGATGCTACCCACGTGATGGAACTGGCCCAGAATCGGACACCGAAGATAATTGGGGTAAGCCCGGTTCCTTGCGTCAACGTAAGACGGCGCGATGTGTCCCCTGGTCGTGGTGATCAGCCGTGCTGCACAGCGGCAGTGCAAATCAGCCCCGGACCAAAGTGGTCAGGGTTGGGCGCCTTTCTGGAGGCAGTGATGGCACATGGGCAAAATGGGCAGATTCAACGCGCGAATGAAGCCTACAACGCCGGGGTTGTCCGTGGCATTGAGTCAACCCATCTGAGATCAATCGCGAGAGAATATATACGGGGGCAGCATCGGCCGGAGCGTCTGGGCTCGGGAGTTTTCTCCTCATCACTGAGGTCTCGCTGGGTGACAGCGACTGCCAGCAATTGACGCGACGAGCCAGCGCCATGGATGCAGACTTTCCGCGGTCTGCCCGGGAAGCCGAGGACCACATCCGTCAAATCCGCCGTGACAAGGGCCTTGGCGATGGTCCGGGGCAAATTGGTAACAACGGCGCCGACCTGGAATCCGCTTTGAAGGTGTTAGTAGGGCGCTTGCCGTCGCGGATCAGCCCGAACTGACGTTGGTTGGCAGTCTATCCCACGATCTGTACCAGACAGCGACACATTTCCTGCTCGAACTCATTCAAAATGCCGACGACAACATGTACGCGGTTGACGCCCCGACGCTGGCCATCACGTACAGGCCGGGGCGGGTCAGGATCGACTGCAACGAGCGCGGGTTCTCACGCAAGAACATTGAAGCCATCTGTCGCATTTGCCAGAGCACGAAGAGCGGTAGGAGCAAATCCGCTGGGTTTGTCGGTGAGAAGGGCATCGGTTTCAAGGCCGTCTTCAAGGTGGCGTCAACCGTCTGGATCTCCTCTGGGTACTACTCTTTCAGGTTCGACCGCGATGGACATCTCGGCATGATCGCTCCGATCTGGGATGCGTTTCCCGAAGCGCCCAAGCCTGGGTTTACTTCCATCTACCTGAAGCTGGCAAGAGACTGCAATGAGGGGGGCATTATCGACGAGCTTCGCTCCTACGATGCCAAGATTCTCATATTTCTTCGCCGTCTGCAGCGGCTTGAGATTGACGTTCAGCGCGAGTTCTGGAAGTCCGGCGACTTCAAGACGGTGCTCAGCCGGCAAGCGAACACTTCAGGCAACCCTTCCATGACGACATTGATGAATGATGGTGTCAAGAAGCAATATCTTGTTTGGCGCCACACAGTCAACCGATTGCCAAACGATGCAAGAAGGCCCGGCATATCGAGCTCCGAGGTGGTCCTGGCATTCCCTCTCGACAAGGACGGAGAAACGCCTCTGATAGAGAGGCAGAGTGTCTATGCATTCTTGCCCATCCGCGACTATGACTTCAAGGTGAGGGGG